GTGTGTGTGTGTGTGTGTGTGTGTGCGCGCGCGTGCGTGTGTGTGTATGCACAGTATGTGTTGAGGCATGTGCCAGAACAACATGCTCTTTGATTCGAGGCATGAGACACTGTGGAGGTCAACTCGAGAAGCTGAGCCTCCATACCTCTCAGCATTTTTGTTCCTGTTATTGCAAAGTATTATTAATGAATATGTGATTTCCATGCTGTAACCAACAGCAAGACAAACTTTGTTTTGAGTTGCTCGACCTGAGGGGCAAAAATTTAAAGAGAATGAAATTGGAGCGAGGTGGAGAAACAAAGACCGTGGAGAGAGAAGACCACAGACATGTCATCTGTCCCTGTTGACTGAACCTTTGAAATAATAAACCACCTTCACTCAACAGTGTGTGATTTGAATGGAAGTATTTTTTAATTAACTATGCTTTTTATTTAACAAGCAGTGACAGGGTTATTATGAAGCGGACAAATGCACCACATCCAATTAATGTAGAAATGAGTTGAGACATCAAGTGTGTGTGTGTGTGTATGTGTGTGTGTGTCTCACCTGATGTCCTGCTGCGTTTACAACCTTGTGGGTAGAGAAGGGGAAACTTTCGTTGCTCAGGTCTGCGTCCAGCACCTCCTGAAGTACCTCTCGACTGCACAGAAACAGAAATCACAGAAAAATATAAACTGCATCAGTATCAATACAAATCATGATGATTGATCGATAAAACAAAATCAGAAACATCTGAAATGTGTCTTGCGTCACATCAGCAGCTCCATTTTGAACATGACATTGATATATTCAATCATGGAGTCCTTTATCTGTGGTTCATCAGACTGTGCATCATCAATACTGGAACTTTAAGAAAAGTAATCATCCATTTTTAAATAAAATAAAAAATTACTACAAAACATGTTTTTTGTAAAAATGACAGTACTCCTACACACACACACACACACACACACACACACACACACACACACTAAAATCAATATTACATAAAGATGAGTCAACAGAAAACAGGACTAAGTTTAGATTACTTTGCTCCTTGCACACTTGCATGTTTGTGAGTGGACTGCTAGAGAAAACAGTGCGTGGGGCCTTTTTCTAGAAGATATTTTTGCAGCAGCGTGGCGGAGAGCCAGGGTTGAAGATATTTGGGGAAGGGTACAGGTTACGTTTGTGTGCACATGTGTGTGTATCTGTGTGGGTGTCCTTCTTTCTACAAAGCAAGTGATGTGGATGTAGAAATGTGTGTATGCCGCTATGGTCTCTTATATGTGAATAAAACATTTCTTGCATATATGGATGTGTGCAGGCATCCATGTGGGGATGATTCACAGTCTGATGTTTTCTTCAGGCTGTCCTCCGGTTTCTGTTCTCCCTCATGCAAGGCTTTGTTCACTGAACTCAAGAGCCCAAGAGCAAGGCCAATTAGCGATATATAATCAGTGAATGGCTCTTTCGGTCTGTGTGTGTGTGTGTGTGTGTGTGTGTGTGTGTGTGTGTGTGTGTGTGTGTGTGTGTGTGTGTGTGTGTGTGTGTGTGTGTGTGTGTGTGT